ATGAGCTTTTAAACTCTGCCATAACAAGTAGCACAAGTTATTTTAGATATGGATATGGCCATTTGAAGTACAAAGGCACTCAACTAAGCCATGGTTTGTTTTAAAGCTTGCCTATTCTGTACCAATTAGGTCCATTTGAGAGGGCACAATAATCCAACCTCACAAACCCCATACAGATGGTAAAAGCACTCTATGAAAGAAAAGATGGACAAACCCATATATTGTACGAAGTTCTTTGCATCTAATGGCACAACTGCATTCAGGCAAAAACGCTGAGCAATCTTCTTCCTTTATCTGAAGTGTTAAAATAAAGCTGATGCAACTTCATGTATCTGCCCCTTAAAACACTTTCCACTTCTACTAACCACTACAGATGGCACTGCTTTCTGATTATGTGAATTTTTGTCAAGTTTACATTTTATGGAAAAAGTGATTTCATTAAATTTCCCTTCCAAAAACTTCTTGAAAAATAAAAAACCTGACATGGTTCCGAATGCCAATTTCTCCTTTATTTTTTTCTAGTAATATCCAACAATATAAACACGGTTGCAGTGATTTTTTTATTTGTAGCAGTGTTCTGGATAAACTGAATAACTAATCCTCTGTGATGGAGAGGCCTCCCTCACACAAAGCCTTGCCAAATACATAGTTATAGTTCAGCTACTGCTTTCCAGAAAAAGTGTTCCAGTATAGTACATATCCCTTCACTTGATACATCAACATTAATGAAATAAGTATTTCTTAAAGTGTAAAGAAAAATTAATACATATTTTTAGTAACAAGCTGAGCTCAAGCTCATGTTGCTCTCTGCTTTTCAAGACAGCTGGAGTCCAGCTGTACTAACATATAACATCAGTGTGGTGTATCTATCAGATTAAGTCCACTACTGAAACAAGGAAGTGCTGCACATGTATGGCTTGCTGAGGTGCAATCACGCTGTTAGAGCTGTCCAAAAAATCCAGGATATAATGATATTTTGCTCATTAAATGCAGGGGATCTATGATTTCTTATATAAGGAAACATGGCCATTTCCTTAAAATAGCTGTACTGAGGAGCTAGAATTTCAACCCATCAGTAAGGACATTTTTAGTGAAGTATAATAAAACCTGATATCACTCATACTAATCATCTCTTCATGCTGTCACAGGTTTTTCCCAGTAACTTACAACTCCCAGCTCTAAAAAACCTTCTGTTAAGAGCACAATGCAGCACCACCTTTCCAAAAATAGAATTCAAACCTAATTATTACTTAGATTTTTATTTTTTTTTTACTAGCAGCACTTCAGACAGCAATAAAATGAAATGCAGACACATTTAATGTATTTTTCCCTGTTCACTTTGTGGAAGTGGCAGTCATGCAGGAGATTTTCAAAATTAAAAAAACAGGATTATAAAACCATAAAATTGACCCAGGGCCTTTGGGCATACAAAGTACTTACAGTTATAATTAATTTTTTAGTGTGACAAGGTTTGAAAACTGACTGTGGAACTCTAAAAGCTGTTTCAAATTTGCTCTATTCCAATATAGCAATTCTAATCACAAATGAAACGATTTAGCGTTCGGTTCAAAATTAAAACTACTTCAGCACAGGTTAATAAATAGTAGATCCAAAATCTGGGTGAGCTGTTTTATCCCAGGGGTGGACACAGCCCTACTCCAAGCAGGACAGGGCAGGCTGGTTTACCATCACACCACCTAACCATGCAGAGGCTGCAAGGGGGTTTCACGGCTCCCACATTTATATCGATGACAAAAATGTGGCTTCAGACCATGTCCTCGCTTACCAAATTGCACTGAGCTCAGACCATTCACCATCACCTTTTCTCCAGTTCTTTGGGACACCAGCAATTCTCTCACGGGTGAGCAGTTCCATTAATGAAACCTAGAACTGCCAGCAAAACATCATGTATCAGCAAGGACACTGAGGTCCTGGAGCAGGTCCAGAGGAGAGCAACAAGGGTGGTGAAGGGACTTGAGCACAAGTCCTATGAGGGAGAGGCTGAGGGAACTGGGGCTGTTCAGCCTGGAGAAGAGGAGGCTCAGGGGAGACCTCATCACTCTCTACAACTACCTGAAAGGAGGTTGTAGCCGGGTGGGCATCGGTCTCTTTTCCCAGGCAACTATCAGCAAGACAAGAGGGCACGGTCTTCAGCTGTGCCAGGGGAGGTTTAGGTTAGATATTAGGAAGAAATTCTTTACAGAAAGGGTGGTCAGACATTGGAATGGGCTGCTCAGGGAAGTGGTGGATTCTCCGTCCCTGGAGGTTTTTAAGAAGAGACTGGATGTGGCACTCAGTGCCATGGTCTAGCAGCCGCAGCGGTAGTGGATCAAGGGTTGGACTTGATGATCTCGGAGGTCCCTTGCAACCCAGCTGATTCTATGATTCTGTGATTCTATGATTTTGACCAGTGATTTTGACACTCATTCCTGTGGATCAGTACCACTGTATATCTAAGCACGTTCTGCACAGGAAGAGGCAAGTTATGTTTCTCCTAAGTAACTGAATTCCAGAAGTGGTTCAGTGTTATCCTTAGTTACTAGGCTAAGGCAGGGAAGAAGGGCATCATTTAAAAATAAGAAGAATTAAGAGCAAATAAAGAAACACTGGAACTGGGGGTACATGTGCACAAAGATGTAGCTTACAACTCTAATATTAAACTATTTTAAACACACAATGTAGATGTTGCTTAACAAATTAGGATCAAAATATAAAGCAGGACACATCCTTACAGCAAATATTTTTCTCACATATACAAGACCTGTGTACCTGGTTTCAGGATTTCACAAACAGACCTGAACTCATATTCAGTAAAAACCAGCTGCCAAGTATAAGCTGTAAAGGCAGAAGCAAAACATGTGAATCATATGTCAAGAGAAAAGAATTTAAAGTTAAAACTAAACTGAGGCTGGGCAACAAGGCAAAGCAATTAGAGATGTGGTAAATGGAAGAAAAATTAAATTACTGCAGGGTAGATCTGACATCTGTACTAGCAGTGGTGCTACAGATCATTAGTCAAAGGCATTTTACACCAAGTGCTACAGAAGATAATTTAAGCAGTGATGACACTAGCTCCTTCCTCTCTATTGCCCCAGTGACATTAGTTTTTGAATTACAGGGGTTATTTCTTCCAAGAGCGACCTCTTAGACATTTTACATGTTAATGTTTGAGCAACCGAACTCTACTTACACAAGCTTTTTTAAAAAAAAACCAATACCATTTTATTATTAGAGTACATTAATATTTTATTGTGTCTTAAAACTGCAGCTACATTCAAAATTCTAACAAGTTAATTAAATTTTAAATCCCAAATGAATTTTAATATTGTGTCCTTTTAAAATATACATAATTTAGCATTTTCCCTAGCTAAAATCCAATTTTTTTTCTAGTTATGATGTAATTAAATACCTATTAATTTGTCTCTATCACTGTACAGCTTTGATTTCTTAAGATTGACACATCTTTCAAATTAGAAAGAATTGTCAAAAAAGTCATTCAGAAAATTATTTCTGGTGGTGTATGGGAGGCTATCCTGCATTCATTTTGCAATTCCAAATGCTAAGCTGCCTAAAGAAATAAGTATATGTGCATGTATGCATGAGTTAACGTGCAGTCTCTAAAGCTGAGCTGAGGATAGAGCTGGGAGACGAATCTCACAAGGCACACGCTCTATGAGAAACCCAGCTGGTACTAGCACATGTCTGAATCACTCCTGTATGGCCCGAGACGTAAAATGAAAACCAAACAACTATGATTTTTCCCAGTTAGACCATTTTTTATGTGGGCATTGCTGCCACCAAACGGCCAAACCGCTGAACTACCCTTCCCCTGCCCCGCGCAGGTGCGAACCTGCTCAGCCCACCACCCCTGCCACAAACCCTCTCAGGAACGCTTTCCACTCCAACCTCTCAAAGCCCCACCGTTGCCAACAATTTCCCAAAATAACTTCCATCTAAAAGAAGATTAGAAAGAACTCATAGAATTCAAATCTTGCTGACTGCCTCTTCCAAGTATGAGCCACCAGCTGTCAGAACATTTCAGTGTTGTAGAATTACACCAAAGCAGTAATTCTCAAAGACAACAGAGTATCTCCCAAACGCCAGTCCAGGCAGCTGAAGTCTAACTGATGTGCCAACAAAGCCTGAAAAAGTTCCTTTTCTGAAATGCCCTCCTCAAAACATCCTCCCAGAAAGCCTGCTTTTAGAAAGCAGGACTTGGCACACTACCCTGTCTCTGAGCAGGTTCCTCATACTGAAGAGACATGTGAGTTCAGTCACAACAGAAAGGGAAAAGGGAGTTCCATAATTTCTCACACACAAGGAGGATTCTACATTCATTCCTATTTCTTAGTTCTTATGAACAGTAGTTCGCTTCACACTTAAAGGTTTTTAAATACTTACCTATCAAGAATTATTATTTTTTGTGTTCTGCTGCACATGACTTGGTAAGCTTATTTATATAAGTGCCAAAGGCACCACAGAAATACCACCATATGCTGTGGGTTTAACTCCACCACCCATGGAATAAGGCTCCACTGGTCTGAGTAACTCAGAAGCACTCTTGCAGAGTTCGGACCTGACTTAGGTACATTTGAGAATAACAACTGAAATAATCAAAAGAACCAGGCAGTCCTCAATAAATACCATTTATAGTGTCTTCACCTTTTCTCTAAGTACCAGTGAAGACAAGAATTCTGCAGTTTATGAACCTTTATGCTTACAGATCACCTTTTTTTCTACAACTACTTCACCTGTAGCTTTCCAAAAGTGTTAAAAAATCATATTATGTAAGAAAAACATCATGTATAATTTTGACAAGGCCAGAAAGGAAGTCAAAATGCCTCGGGGCTTCCAAGAAGAAGCAACGCTTTTGAAGGACTCCATATTTGAAGGACTGCATTAAATGAATGGCTCAGTCAGTCAACTAAAAAGGTAGGGCAATTAAAGAGTCTCTGCTTTCTCCTCCACACCAGTCAAGAAAAAGATGTGAATATACTCACCTTTTTTGCTCTTTGTGCTATATTAGGTGTTCTAGTGAGAAGCTTTTCAATCAGGTATTCTCTATTCTGCAAAACCAACATTTGTTAAGTTAAAAATCAATATGAGGAAAGCAGAAATTTCACATAGATTTTAAGGCAGAGCAAAATTTACTCGTAGGGTTAAACGTTTTACCTTGGCTTTCTGGAAAAATTTGCATTTTAAAAGTTCTGCTGCTGTGGGCCTGAAAGATCAATAATAAATTAGAACAGAAAACAAAGACCCCTCTCAGCGAATACAGTACAAGACGTTAGTTAAAATGGTACGTCTCTAACACTTTTGAATTAGTACTGTATGAATGGGGAATGAATGATAATAGCTACTGAATTAATTCACACAAACTCACTTACCACACATGAAAAAAATTAAGCCTCTCTACGGTAAAAATACCAAAAAAAAAGAGAAAAAAAAAAATCAGTCTCTCAAGCTGCCAGTTTCCCCCCTTTTTTTGTTCAACACAAGTGCAAGTGCATTTTACCTTTAAAACAAACAAAAAACAAAACACACAAAAAAAGTCAGGTATTGTTTTCTTCCCCAAGTGACTCTACAAATGCAACTAAAACTTTGCTCCATAGCAATAAAAGCATAATTACGTTTTCCAAAGAGCGGCATCAATACCTGCTACTGCCATTCTTTAACTTGACTGATTTCAGCAGGTATTCAAAAGAAACTATACTGACACAATTAACATGATGCAGAAACCAAAGAGAGTCATCAGGAGCATCTTCCAGTCAAATGGACAAATACAAATCAAAGCAACAGTCATAATGTCAAAACTGAGACATTTCATTTTTACTTGCAGTTCTGTTCAAGTTTGGTTCTTCTCATCATCATTAAGTTTATATTTTTGACATTTTCAACAGATAATCACAATCTCAGAGCTACCAAAGTAATTCCAACAGCAGATTTTGTCTCCCCTAGCTTCAGGGATCAAAAAAGCTATTTATCTAGCCAAAGCCAGACTCTAGTACTGAAGCAGACTCTGGAGAGAAAACAAAGCATCTCCTGGGATGAAATGAAATCCTCCATGTTCTTTTCATCCTTTCATGAGAAGCCCATACAACCATCCAAGAGTAATTTTGACACAGTTAAATTTAGGGAAGTCATAATCTTCAAGATTCATCACTTCCAAATGAACAGTAGCAACATCTGCTCCCATTTTCCATTTTAATTCAAGCAAGAGATGGAATATCGCACAAACTAGTTAAGATAGCGGAAAGCTTCAATTTGGAAAATTCCAGTCCCAAAACCAAAAAAAACTAAAATCTGAACTAGTCTATTGCTTTGAGGACATATCTGAAAAATAAGTGACGAAAAAAGGAGTAGTAAGTAATCTGTATGTACATATCAATTCACTCCTGCTAGAAATAATGAATCAACCCTTGACATTAACAAAAAGCATTCAATTTAGACACAGACAGTAGGTTTCATAGAGTATGGTGGGTTTTTTCTTCTCCAAAACACCAAACTCTACAGTAAAGGAGTTCTTGTTAATGGTCCTGTGGAGATCACCAGACTTGGCAGTAATTCACATATATATCTTGGATGAGCAAAAAAGGAAGGGAAACAATTAAAAAGAAAAATCAGCTTCTGTGTGAAAGTTTTAAAGTTCTTTCTCCAATTACAGTGAGCCAGTACCATCACATCTCATAACAGGGCTAAGCACAGTTAAAAGCTAGATTTTAGTAAAGTTTTATCCAAACTACTGTTCTCCATTCCTCTACCATTAATTATGCCAGACACTTGTGAACCAATCTGGACATGCTTTCTGGCCCTGTTTTTCCACCCAGCCTGCGGCAGTGAATTGCAGCTGAGGACTGTGAGCAGCATCCTTAGCACTGGGGAGAGAGAGAAACACCCACACACAGATCCCCAAAAGAAAAACACCACAGTCTGAGACAACAACAGTGCAATGCCAGTCCTAGAATTTGCCATAAAGAGCAAGCACTTCTCTCACAACTGAAACGGCTGTTGAAGATATCTCCATGCAAAATTAGATCCTGGCTCGTGAGAAACGTAAAAAAATAGAGATGACCCCCAATATAAGAATACTCGCTCTATACCAGTATAGAGTAACTGGCACACAGTTCTGAGCATCTATCTGCTGGTCTTATTGTTAATTCAAGTATGAAGTATGAAGATATTGCATGTGTTTTCATAAATTAGCATAATTACCTTAAACACTAGTGTTTCAACGCTAATGTCATAGCTACAGGTTAGGTACCTCAGCATTATGTGCTCAAGGAGACAAGGAAAACCCATTTTATTTATTTCTCATGATTTCATACCCATTTAATCTTGCCCTAAAAATTGCTGAACACTGGAAGCTAAAAGAAGCTTGATTACCCAGAGCACATTTCATGCTTATCTGTAAGCAGCCAAACTCTAGCACTAAGCTTAAAACATCAGGACTTGCTACTAAGATCAACAAGTGTAAGGGGTTTGGGAATCTGAAAACAGTACACAAATGATCCTTGAGTGAAATAAAAAATGTCAAGTATTTCAAGAATAAAGATTTTTTTCCTAATTATACTTTTTCTCTAGTATGCCTGCTGTCACCTTTTTGACTTGATGCCTACAACAACATCCTGGACTTAGATTAGCACAACATCAGTGAAGAGAAGTACACATCATAAGAGATACACACACAATCAGGATTGCTCTCTCAGAACAATCTTTCTCCAAAAATACTAGCTCTGAAACTCTACAAAACAGTGATATATTAAATGCCTTAAGAAATAATGTTAATTAGAATGGGCTTCCTACAACTCTTCAGCAAAAGAAGCCTACAAAAATGGTCTGCATAAAAATGAATAAAGGATAAATAAATTAATCATTCAGGGACCTCAGCAATGGCTTTGGAATAGATGTTTAATACTTTCATCATCTTGGCTGTCTCATCCACAAAACATAGCAAGAACAAAGAACAAATTGCAAAGATGCTATGATGTGCAATTGCCCACACACACATGAAGAAAACTCAACAAGCTTGGAGCCACTAACTTCACAGTAAAAAATAAATATATCTTAAAAAGTAATTTTCTCTGGAAAATAAGGCAACACTAAGTTTATGTCACAAAATGAGAAAAATCAACATAGAATTATTTATAATTTCTTTTCGAGGCCAAGAGACTGATATGTTTGGTTACCTACAGTTCTGTTGATCAATCTGAACAGTCTCGTTAGACTGTATCAAGATTTATATCTTGTCTCAGACGAGAAATTAAAATGTAGAGCAAGGACTTGCATTTGATCAGAGTTTAATTCAATAGTATGTTTACCTATAAATACATTAGGTTAACAACCCAGAAGAAGAAAACGTAAGGGATCATTAGGAGGCAATTTCTTCTCCCCAGATGAAGATGACTGAAGGCTGCTATTTACAAAATTCAAATCATACACTTAAAAAATTATGTCATTGTAACTTAAAGTAGACTATATATTTTAAAAAAAAATTCTTCTGTACATGGCAATAGTCACCTACCTTTTGGAAGGATCTTTTTGAAGGCATAATGAGATTAGTTTTCTAAAAGATTTGCCATACTTCTTCGTCATCTCCTTGTCCTCTACACCTGTCTCTAAAGTGGGAGGATCATTTTGAAGCGTCAGCATTAACACCTAAAATAAATCCAAAAAAGAGGTATTGTAAGCAAAACCAATTCCAAACATAGAAATTGCAAGAAAATAAATACTCCACAGAATACATCTATTTAGATATCTTGAGTTGCTATTGAAAATGAAGTAGTACTAGCTATCTAGCAGCATTAATAATACAGCCAACAGCATTAAGTAATACAAAGTGATTGTTACTTTCATAGGAGGGTACTTGTGATAAGGTGCTGCTCCAGTTGCCAACTCAATGGCTGTTATCCCAAAACTCCACATATCGGCCTTGAAGTCGTAACCTCGCACCTGAAACAGAATCAGAAAGGAAAACCAAGGTGATAATGTCTCAAGTTCCAAAAATAAAACACTGAAAATGTTTTCAATTTTTTGTTTAACATTAGAAATACCTGCTCCATTACTTCAGGGGCCATCCAACAGGGAGTACCAACAAATGTTTTTCTTACTTTATTACGAGTAACATCACCTCCAGTTGCTAAAAATGCACTAACACCAAAATCTGGGAAGGAGGAAAAAAAGTCAAAATCTGTTAAACTACCAATAACAAAGCAAAAGTTTTGCATTTTAGAAATTAAGTCAGTTCATAACAGTATACTTATAGAAACTCTCCACTGTAGAGCTGACCTTTGTTCCACGACACACTGTTCATGAAATGCTATGGAATGGAAGATACAGTTTTATTTGGGAGATCTGCACTACAACACTCTCAAGTTTAAGCTCCTAGTATGTGTCTTCCTGAATAAGGTTACAAAGGATTCCAGAACGTCTGTCACTTAAGGTTTTCAAATATGCACTTTGAGTCAAAGTTTGCATCTGCTGTTGATCAAAGCCAAGAAGCTACTTCTGACAGCTACTAAATTTGAATGTGATTTGAACAAGTGGGAATTTTATATGCAATTTAAATATTTCTGGAGATTTGACAAACCAAAGATCAACAGTAAAGTCATCAATAATATATATTTAATAGTAGACCAGGACACGAATAGCTTTTTCCAAATGCCAAAAAAAAAAAAGGCTCAGTGTTCTGTTAACTGTTTACTACACCAGTGACAGCGGTGTGGGAGAGATTGGGCTATAAGCAGAAGAAAAAGCATGTTACCAATGTATGAAGAAATACTGTCAATTTTCAATGGAGCTATATGAAGAATATTTTCAACTGTACTACTTACAATCCAGTTATACTGAAATACAGTAGTTTACTGTAGACTTACTTCAATTTTTAATTTTCCTATTGCTTTCTTATTGTTACCTGATTTTAAGGTTGAAAAAAACCCCAGTAACTACAGAAAATGTAGTATTGTTATTATTTTACACTGGCATATTAAAACCGTCAAAATACATGTTTACATGGTACTTTGAAAGCATCATTTATATAAAAAATACAACTTCTGTCTACAGCCATTTTTATTACCAAGGACTGCTAAACACACAGCTTTCAACACTCGGTCACCAGCTATAAACTGTGAAAGGCCTGGCAGTATGCTGAGAGAGTGGGCAGGTATCACCACCACCTCACTCTGCTTTCCAGATAATTTCATACTAACTTGAGAGATGGGACATGAGCCTTTCTCGGTACTGAAGCTTTTATGAGACCAAATCATTTGATTCTTACAGAGTACCACTCCAGAAGTACATCAACACACTCAGGGGATATTTAAGATGCTAAACTGTATTCAACTGATACCACTGCAAGACAAATGGCAGATATGCCAAAAGTAATTCTCAGTGGGATATATCTCATGCATCTCAGTGACTAGTTAACTTATAACCAAGGTCCTTATGAAGGGCAGTACATACAGATTTTTGGATCCTCAAAAACTATTATAATTATTTGCAGAAATAAATGAAATGAATAGAAATATGACTTGTTACCATTTTCAAGATGTTTAGGGCACATGGGCAAATCAAAAGGAAACATAAAAGGACATTAAAAAGTTTCCTTATACATTTGATAGGACACAGAGAAACACTGAATAATTTCTGAATCACAGATCATTAACCAAGAATCCTGAAATCCGTAACTGGGAAACTTGTGGCTACAGCACTCCAAAAGAAACAGTTAAAAGCTAACAGAAAAACTTGTATCTATTGCCCTTGATCCAGCTGCAATTACCTTTTTCTTTTATTTATCCATTACTCTACAACCGCCATTACCTGCTATTTGTACAGAGCCATCCTCACCCAGAAGAATGTTGCCAGCCTTCAAATCTCTAGAATGTACAAACAGAGGTTAGCATGAAAGTACATATGTGCAAGTTTATGTAAACAAATAAATATTGCATACTGAATAGTTTTACAAGATACCACTTTCAAATTTAAAACGCAGAAAAAAGAAACTGAAGTATAAAATGTAACTGAATAACAACAGAACACAGCGCAGAACTCAAACTCTCACAAATTCTCATCTATAGAAAGACCTGGATTCAGCTTTGGCATAAAATGAACAAATTCAGGGATAGATTTTAAAAAGATAAATATTTAGGTCCAAATTCTACTTTACCACCTTTGATAAATATATTCTCACCAACTGAGAGCTTTCAGAGCTGTAAACCAAGAATTAATGCTTTGTCACATCCAACTGCACCACTACTGAAAAAGAGAAGTTAAAAAAAAGTTTTCCCTCTTTGACCTCTTCAGAGAAGACACCCACCTTCAAGAAAGGTAAATGTACTGTACACTTCTATCCAATTAAACTATTAAAGCTCAGGAATAGTAGCCATATTTTGCTATGGGGTACAGTGATGAAAAGTTACTTGGCACTGAATGTGTCAAAAATTCAGCATGTACTAAAGTGTCAACTGTATCCATTTAACACACTATTCACACATAATGTTAAGAAGAAACCTCTGTGGCTGTTTTGGTTTGGTTTGTTTATTTTTCTTATAGAAATATGCATTCCATTGTTAATGCATCACTACTGAAAGGTAACATAATCTGTTTCCCTATATATATAAACAAGAATGTATTGAAACAACAAAACAAAATCTCTGAATAACTTTGGAAACATCTCCAACTAGCAAATTCCACCTGACACAGTATTCACTGAATTATACCACAGCTTTCACCTACAACATACATCAGAAAAAGAAGGACACTGTATCATCTTTAACAGGACTTCTGCGGAACGGCACAGTTTACAGATGATTTTATAAAAATGGAGAAATGTCACATGTAACAAAGAGATATCTCTCTTTTTATATTTTTTAATGTACTTTAAGAAGAGATGAGGGGAATTCCCAAGTCTGACCTCAAAGAGTCCTGTTATCCTTAAAGCTCATGAATGTGCCTTTCACAACAATATCAGCTTAACAGAAGACTATGAATTAAGGTTTGAGGCAGATCTTCGGCATCCGAGACCAGAAGTCAAGATAATTGTTCTTTATTTCTCCATTTATCTCAATTTTCCCTCTGCAAAAGGAGGAAATAGCTCTTGATTTACATCAGAAGCAGTTCACTTATAAGACGAGACATAAGAAGTACACAAAGAACAATTACTGTGCTACATCTGCACTACCTCCATTCTCAGAGTCCTGTTTGCAGTGAATCCGGTTTTTGTGTAATTATAATAGGCTAATGCTTGAAAGAGAGAATCCAGTGCAGGCACCTTCCTTAAAAGACAAATTCACTACAGTAAAATTAATTAGCAAGGTCAGAGTACAGCACTTTCAACAACCAAACAGTGAGAGCAACCTCTGGGTTCTTTCAGCAGATACATACAGACCACCCCAGGGGATCTGCACAATTCACATGGTGCAAGGCATGTAAAGAGAATATACAGAAGAGAGCAATCACTGGATGCATTCACACTAAAATGTAGTTTCATAGTACCACACTCAGTTTCACATGTGGTCATAAAAAAAGATCAGTAGAGTTGTAATAGATATTTACTGATCACCAGGAAAAAAATAATTTCACATTTGTACAGGAGTGCCTAAGCACCCAAGATTACAGGTTTTACTGTGCAACACAATAACTAAGTCACAAAACATATCACATAAACTAGAATCAGATTAGATACTGGAGCACCAACAGGCACAGGAGTACAGATCCCAGCTCTGGCATTCTTATGGCAGCACAGGCCTATCCCAACTAGAAGAGAGACACACAGCATAAAGACCAGGCAAGTACTTATTAGTGACAAACTGCAGTCAAGATTGCAGCATCTGCTCCAGCATTATCATCTGATAATTACTGAGCACATTTAGAGTATGTGACAGAGGCAACAGTTTGCTTAGCCAGGCCACTGCAGCTGACAAGTGGCAACAAACTACACAGTTAATGTGGAAAATGCTTTTCACTATGTATATGCTCCTACCTGTGTATTTGTCCATTCCTGTGTAAATAGTCTAGGCCCTCCAAAACTTCTTTAAGAATTGTTGCTATTATGGGTTCTTCAAGCACACCACTTTTGTGCTCTCCTCTGTTGACAATATACTTTATTATATCAAGCATTGAACCTGTATTGCAGAACCAGGAAGGAAAAAAAGCAAATACAAAGCATTATCATATCAAATTCTTAAGAAAGTTGTATTTCTTCAGTCTTTCTATGCTACCACAATTTAAATCTTTGAATGTACGTATAAATACTTCATGTAACTAGCTGTTAGAATAAAGCACACCGCTAACTTGTTCAAATGAGACACAGAGCACTGCTTTTTGTCAAAAATACTTAATGACCCATTAGAAAAATACGCTAACATCTTGCTAAGTGACCACTTATTTAAAATTCAGGAGTACTCCACATTTAAACAGACACATACTGCAACGGTTTATTATCCACCTTAGATTATGGTTCTTGTGTTCAAAATGTAGACACACAGCTGCAAGACTGGAAGAAGATATTCTCTGCAAACACATGATTACAACGTTCCCAGTGATACAGTCTGGCATTGAACTTCAGTTATTATAAATTTCAAGGCATTTAATAGAAACATTTTGGTTTTAACTAAGCATTATTCAACGGCTCATACTAAATTCCTGTCATGAATCTCTGTTTTATCTCATGTTCTATGCTTGCTTTTGACTGAACTGACCAATTCAATCAATGTGACGTAAAAAGTGTTATGAGCATTTCCCATCCTTGTTTTCTAGCATCATTGTGCAGTAGTCTGCTCCATCAAGACTAATCTTGAAGGACATCATGTAACAACCAGGACCATCACATCTTAATTTGGAGTCTCTCTTTTCTAAGTTAGAAGCACATTCATCCCCTTTCTCCTCTCCCAGAACCAAATAAGTATTTTATCCCATTAACCATCATGATAAAAAACTGCAGTAAGTGTTTTGTTAGTTTAAGCAAGAAGAAGGATGCAACACATGTAATACTTGTCCTAGGATGAATTTTCCTTGAATAAGGAATGAGTAACACTCTTTATGAATTCAGAAACATACGCATTTTTACAAAAATAGAGTGGATTCTAGAGAAACTCAAAAAAAGGCCATGCTTACAGAACTGACTTAATTCTCACCAGTTTTCCCTACACAGCCTTAATAAAGATTTTTGATATGTTGATTCAGAACAAAAATTAAATTCTGCTGATGTAACTACTGTATCTCAGTAATTCTTAGCCTGTACTATAAATACACACACACAAACATTTTCAGCTTGCACATTCATGCTATAACACGCCTACATCTCAAGGTTCATCCTATATAGTATCTACCCCCTCTCATTACTTTGTTTAGGTGAATTAACTCAAAGAAGGTACATTAGGAAAAAAGTCATACTATTTCCTTCCAGCTGAACAAGTAAAACCAGTAACTTACCCCCACTCAACAGCTTCATAACCAGCCAAAGTTCATCCTTCACCACAAAAGATGTGTAATAGGTCACCACATTGGGGTGATTGCATTGACTCATTGCTTGAATTTCTTTCTGTAAGAAATAAAAAGCCCAACATAACAGAGCCAGCTATCAGTTTTGATTGCACAGAGAGATAGTTTAATTTCCAAAGTGAAATACTATAACAGAACTAAAGTATATACAGAATATGCATCACGACATTAAAACATTTCAATTTACCTATAGATCTGCATGCAAGAAAAAAAACATAATTGCTTTGGCCAGGAGATACAGGCACAGCTACATCACTTTTCTTGTGAGAACAGTAAAGAAATTACTTTAAAGTTCCAAATTCACAGTAAGCAATGAAGAATAAGTAGTCTCCAAGAGCTGAAGGTGTGGGCACAGGCTGGACAACAAAATGCAGGGCAAGATCAAAATCTACTGCCTTTCCTGTTCAAAAGGGATACGAAGAGTAGAATGGGAGCAGGTGGTAAAGAGAAAGGAAGCTGTCAGACAAAGGACACAGCACCAGTGGCTCAGCTACTGTGAGATGGACAGGTGGACAGCAGAGCCACGCAATCAAACAGAAATGGAGAAAAAGCAATGTTACAAACCAAAAGTCAGAGGAAACAACCGACTAGAGGAGCCTACAGTTACCAACAGATGCACAATGTGGCACTACCAAGTAACACCATCTATGACATGCCACAGCTGTACACATTAAGAATAACAGCCTTGTATCTGTTAATTCAAGCAGAGTCCTTTTTCTATTCACACTTTCACATATTTGTTCTGTACCACCTTTCTGGCAGCTCTCATTGTTCTGCCAATCCTTTACATAGGAACATGTACTGGAGAGTTTGGCCTCACACCAGCTTAAGCTCCCACAACCTTACTTCTCCCACTCCACCTTTGGCCACACAGCTCTGATCCATCCCTGGTGCTAGAGAACATGGTCCTGGAGATGAGCCAGTCAGGGAGCCAATCCAGCTCAAAAACCAACTCTTCCACCTCTCCTTCCTCCATGAAAAGCAACTGCTTTGAGGTGGACCTGTGTTACACTTTGACTCACCAGCACTTGTGCAAGGCAGGCACTGTGCAGGTCCCACTTAGGTTGATTAAAGTTGCCACAAATGCCATTTTCAACTTCCAACTTTAATTCAGCAAATGTTTGAAAGAGGTTTTTTGTTATTTGCAATGCACTTGAAATCACAGCTGCTTTCTAATAAAAAGTTAATTATATGTATTAAAGACTGTGATTTAATCTCATTATGCTTGCTGGTGACTATTAAAGTCAGGCTGTAGTTTGAGACACATTTCAGCTTGTCCTGTTGTCCAAAGCCCTCCTCCTTAGGCAACTTCTGAGTCCTGGACCACAGAAGGAAGAATGCTTGGATAATGAGTCAATGAGACTGAATAACAAGAGTAATTTGCAAGACAGCTCCCCTCATTCCCCTGGAAGGTAGTAGGTGGAAAACAGAAGACAGACATGTGGGGCACATTTCTGTCTTAAACACACATCAAATCACTGCCTCAGGTTCTTAATTCAGCTACCCATTCCATGAACTGTAACTCTCCTACTCCTGATTACTATTTCATTTCTTACACTGTTTTATTATTTTCCTATGCTGGTAATACAACAATAGTTCAAAAACTCCACCTGCCACTACTGAGCAAAAATGCACCTTATCTATTTTTTCTCACATATTAATAATGCAGAAATGTAACTAATTGACTAAGATAAGCTTCACTATTTTAACTGAAAAGTGCTTTGAATATTTTATCTACCTGCATCAACTTGTGGGCAAAAACTGAGCTACCACAGTAGCCATGGCCAAAGGCACCTTGTGTCTCAGCTTCGGTGACTTTTTTCAAAGACTCCTTGCAAAACAAAAATAAACAAACAGAAAGCATTCCATGAGAGATAAGGGGTGAAATTTTAGTCAGGAGAGAATTAATTTCAGACCTGCAGTACTAGAAAGCCCCTATCACACACAGAATGGTAAGCCTTCATAAACTTCAGTTATTTGCTTGAGGTCCTTGATATGCACAGATAAGAGAGAAAAGAATTCACTTAAAATATGCTGCCAGGGAAACAACTTGCAACAGAACATCCAGGAAAACAATCCGGAACCTCCTTCACATTCACGTCACCTTAAACATTCAGCGGCACCAAATCCGTAACAGCAATTTCAGTCTCTCCCTCATCCCTCTGCTTCTCCCTGCCTTGCACTAGCACGAGCGTTTGTGCTCTGCACCAGGCAATATGCCCAGGTTAAAAGCTAACCTACTTTGGCCAGGTTATTCCTGATCTGCTTTCACTGAGCAGCTGCACAAAAATGTCTGTCGGCCTCAGGGCAGGTGGGTGACACAGTTAATAAGCAACTGCAGGACAGCTCCTTTCAGTGCTCGGCTGCAGTGCCCACGGGGCTGGTCCTGCTCCCAGTGACTGGGCAGGTGCCAGCACTCCGCAGGTGCTTGCCCAGGGGCTCCTCCACCGGCACCCAGGCATGGCCCCTAACAGGCCAGGGGCTCCTCCAGAGAGGCTGCCTCCAAGGGCTATCCAGAACAGAAACACCAACAGCCTAGAAACACTGTTCAATCAAACAACCATTCTGCAGAATACTGTTTGTCTTGTAGTTTTGAGTTTTTGATTGTTTAAAAAAAAATGGAGGTAAGAGGATGGGGAAGATACCCAGTCAGGACAGTACTAAGGACAGGAACCTTTTCCTTGGCTCATGGGGTTAAGTTACACTTAGCTTACAATAGTGAGAACACAGGATATTGCAGGAAACAGAGTATCAAATTTCAGGAGTTTGGCAGTTTGTGTAACCTTAGTATTATTTAAACTCCCTCTCACACTGCCTTTCTATTTTAATTGACACTGGCCCAAATCTTAAGTCTGCTTACGTGGGCACCAGGGTTGCTGCATTTCCACTTCTCTGAAGGCCACACAGCTGAGAAGTCCTGAAGGGTGCCCATGCACACTATCCACAAGCACTCAGCACCAGCATTTTACAAAACAGCGTGTTCAGAGCGCAGACAGTTTTAGAACATCCCTGTGCCAATAAAAACTGTTTCATCAGGAAAATAAGTGATCAAAAACTGATTAGACTCAAAATTTTTAGACTCAAAATCTGCCAAAAACGCAACAGCATTCTAAATACTATCAACTGAAATAAAAATATTAGTACAGTTGTAACGAGTTTTGAAGGTCAATGATGCGCCTTTCCAGAAAAACGTATCTATTTTTTAAATAGAATTTTTTTTATTTTTTAAATCTCTCTATTAGCACTGAGTCAGAGCAAGTATACTGACCCTCACAGAGAAAAGCTAATTATGTATGTGTATGCATACACATGTGTGTACGCACTTTTTAAACTCTGCTAACCAGGAACTGGGAAAAACAGAATTTATGTTCAGATCAAAACAGATCAACAAAAAAAAGAAATAAAATACCTGAGCACAGAAAAGCAGAAATTGACTTATGTTAAAAAATAAAAAAGATGGTATGGACAATTGTCTTTGTACCAAAAGAAAGCAATATGGGACCAAAAATTCTAGACCTACTGCCTCATTTGACAGACAGTGGAGACACGTCAACAGTAAAGACACTCAAGCACTTGGTTAGGTAACTTTGAACAAGCTGGTAACTAACTGCAGTTAGACCACATGAATCTCTCTTGCAGATTTTTGGCAGTTTTGTCTGATTTTATTTGTTGTAACTTTTTAATTCTTAATTCCCATTATTAGTTCAAATTCTAACTAAAAAGATCCAATTTAAACCACTTTATGTTACAATTATTAGTATTTATCATTTTATAGAAATCTTCTTTGTGGACTGTAGATGTTAATACATCATGCACAGCGTCTCACCTTGGGCTGTTCTCTTTTTAAACACAGTTCAGAATTTATCTTTTGAGTTTTTAGTTGACAGAATTCTCACTACCCCAGAAGCAACTTCCACTACTACAATCCTCTTAAAAAACACAACAATGTCGCATACAAGCTGTCACATAAACTGAAGGTGAATGCCATCAATCACCAGGGGAAGAGCATTTTGGGTCCTCCACTGTAAAAAAGCCATTTTATCTGAAGAAACTGGATGGACCATACCCTCTGTATCAAATTCAAGATATCTTTTGCACTGGCAATTCCCTGCTGAGGAGATCATTTCCTTCAGAGGCAGGAATTTCTGCATTAGAAAAAGCCCACAGTCTCTAGGCAGTAGTATAACCTGTGGAACAGAAGAGAGTGTTCTCACTTTTAGAATGGTTTTGTGTCCTTAAAATCTTGTTATGCTGCCTATATATAAATATGCATTAGTCTTATAAGCACCTAACTAGGAGCATTAGAAAGCAATAGGTTTTGGATTTTAACAGTTCGTTGTGACTTTGTCTGGATTGCCATAACCAGTGCAGAGGAAAAACTCTTGCAGTTCCTTTACAAAGGGCCTCTTACAGGTCCTTTTCTTCTCTGATCAGTGGCCCAAACAAACAGCATTCCTCAAACAGCTTCTTATGGCCTATCGGATAAATGTGTGCTAATATGTAGATGAAAATGTAGCCATTCCTCCTTATCTCCTTAAAAGTTATCATCACAAAATAATCCAACATGTTTTGCTGGTTTAGACATTTTAAAGAGACCTACTAAATTTTACCTTCATTTTTTTAATCAGTGTTTAACAGAAGGAAAATGTATCTTTCCTCAGTATTAAGAAAAGACAGACAACCAGACAGTAATCTCTTAAAAACTGAGTCTCTAGAAAACAAGGGGTTAGGGTCTTCCCACAGTTATCCCAAGCTGGGATTCAAGTTTACAGATCTTGTTTTTGTGACACTAGAAAATACACATTAGTAAATTATATTTTTAGGGAAGGGTAAAAAGTCTTCCAGATTATTTTCAAATCCTTCCTTTACATCCTGCATAAAATTCTACCCTCACTCTTGGACCAAGGAAAAACCAAAACCAAAACAGAAGGTAAGTCTCCGTGTAATATACTGCTGCCCGATTTACTTACAAGTAATTCATCCATACTGGTTTGGCATTTTTCTAAGTTGATCCTCTTTATTGCTACACGTTCTTGCCTGGGTTTGCACAGCGCTGCCTGGACAACTGCTGTAGCACCGCTACCTGAAAAAGAGCACAGAAGGAATATAGTCTTAATACAACAGGAATCTAAACCAGTGACCAACATAGAAACATCAACCGACAAAGAACTTCAAATCTGCTGTTTATCCTTTTGCAGTGCTTTCCCCACATCCATACCTTTCCACTAGGCAAGACACTTTTCTTCTCAGATGGAGAAGAAAAACCTCAAAGCTTCTGTTCCATACTCCACAAAAAATTCTGAAGTCAACAACTTAAAATGATGTGTTCATTTTTCAAGACACAACCACCACCTCAACGCATTTCATAGTTTGGGAACCACTACACTTTTGTCTTTAGACACAGCTGTTCTAAGAACATGACCTGCACAGGCGATACAATTTAAAAGCCTTACACACTGGGGTGGGGAGTGTGCTTTATCAAATGTTGTTTCTATGCGTTCTTTCTTTAACCAGGTTTTTTTCCCGCTATGCAATGAACAGAAAAATATCAGAAAAATTGTGTATGCCAAATCTTCCACAGTTCCACCAGTGTTCCTGCTCATTCATCGTGATTAGAGTAACATCCTACGAAAAGCATGCTGATTCTCACAAAGAGCATGGGAAGCACAAGTATCACATCACCAGTGAGAAGATGAAGGTCACTGAATGGCCATCAGAGAAAGTCAGTCACACTTACTTGGCATGCAAATCACATACAGCCACACAACTATGCTGATAACAAAGCCTGGGGGAATTGAACAAATCTGGGAGAAAGGAATAGAATAATTTTCTTTAGTGTGCTTTATTTGTGAATAACAAAAGTAAAAGGTCTTGTTGCTTCTTTTATTAGGCACCCACCAGCGTTGCCCCAGTCAGTATTGCCTAACTAAATTAATGAAATTATTGCAAGTAATACTGAGGAAGAGTTTTGCTCACATTGCACATCTTGCTGCCCCATCAAATACAGCAGTGTGTGCTTCCTCACAGTAATTGCATCATGCTCATCCATGCAGAAATCTAAAATACTCCAACAAGTAGTTTCTACCTGCTATTGTAAATATTTTATTATAAATTATGGATTTCTGGTAAGTCATTTGAGAAACGTGTTATATTGGCCTGCTTATACACTACGTTCTATTTATTTGGCAAGTCCTAGATGAATACAAATTGTGAACAAAAAGCCTTTTGTTGTCAAGCTCTACAAACGTGGATTCAGTTACCAGCCGACTTAAGAACAATTGAGAGCTTTTCCCTCTGCACATCTGAAAACAGCACCAACAATACCTCATGACTGAAAGTTATTGTCCGTGTTTTAATTGCTATTTGCTTAGCTATTTTCATGTATTGTTGGTTCACATGATGTTTTCACTCAAATCACAAAGCTTTTTAACGGTTTATGAATTTCATGACAAAATTCTGAGCTCATCTTCAAAAAAAAAAAGTTTCAACAGGACTAACTAGTCATGTTTTTGCAGGATGTGGTCACAGACAAATATTGACATGTCCTGTTCTGTCTGCTTATAGAACAAAGCCTTTAAAAATTCCAATAGTGTAAGTAATAAAAGAATTAAGAGATTTTAAAAATTAAATAAGGCGTCCCAAGGAAGGAACCACCAAGTCAGCACAATTCAGTTCGGGTAAGACTCATCAACATCACTTTAATGAATTCCTCAGTAGACATTGTTACTTTGATTACACAACTGTAGGTTGAAGCAGGGTAAAGAAACCAAATTTTTAGCTATTACATATACAGGAACAAAGACTGAGATTTTCCTTATGCATCTTTTTCATCTATGCCAGTAGTTTTGTCTACATGCAGGAAACATCCAAGATCATTTTCAAAATAGATTTGTAAGGCCACATAAAAGACAAACAGAAAAAGCACACTGAAAAATTATTCACCCAATGCCAGGGTGAATCTTGACTGCTTCCTCAAGTTAAATGACAGTAAGTAACACTTCAAAACATTTTGGAAAAATTAAGTTACAAAAATAGTACATTTTTCCATGTTTTCTCCTCAGACAGAGATGACTTGCAATGGGATGTTCTTCACCTCATGAATGTGATGCACTGGCAAAGCAAAAAACTTTCTAGGTTTAGAATAAGGCCAATATACCTGGTTTCTTCTTTCTCCTGCTTTCTGAATACTCTACACAATACAGCATTTTGACAGTAAAGACGATTTGTCCAGTTTGCATTCTCAGTGGGACCTACATACATCAAAAACTCACTCGAAAATGCAGTTTGAAGTACTGAAGTAGGAGCCAGGCACTAAGTAGCAGTATGCCTCCTTCCTCTTAAAAGATGTTCTCCTCTCCTCTGGCTTACAAGGTGAACAACCAGGGATAGAGATAAGGAAAACGTGCAGCTTCCACATCTGGTCAGAAGACTCCTTTTGTGTCAATAAAGAGATGTCTACCAAGCAAGTAGAAGCGTGAAGTGTTCCACAGTAGCTATTAGAAACCAGACTACCCAGATAAGCATTTCAGTTGTGAGCTAACAGACTACAGAAGTCATACATTATCATACAGTGAAACTGAATTGTCACAGACAACTATTTAGCACAACAAATTAGGATCACAGAAAATGATTGCATAGAATAGATTACAGTCAACCGTTCCTTGTCAGAAGGTAGGACTTCAGTATGTTGAGCCTTAGAAGTCTCCCAAAACCCTCACAGCAGAGAATACTAACTACGCCACAACCAAAGCACAGACAGGTTCTAGCGTTCAGTCTCCATTTAGGAAACTGGTATGAAATTATATATATATGTATAAAGAAAGCTCAGGCTGGATAAACCAAGAAGCCTTTGCATCCAGTTGTCTCCTGGAGGAGAACAAAACAAAAGGATTACCAGTGGTCAGACTCAAGCAGGTTTGTACGAACAACAGGTTTTTTCCACTACTAGAAAAGTCATTCTGCTACAGAAAAGTTCTCTTTGCCAGTTTCAAAAGTTAGCAGGGAAATAATGCAATTCCAGTCCACATCAAGATGCCTGCTACTCCTGTTACACAACAGACAACTGGTCAGAGCGTTTCATCTCGTCCTCATGTATTTGCTGTCATCCTTCCCTCTAGTGCAAGCATGCCCTTACAGACAACCTGCCCCTTCATGCACTCCCTACCATCCTGCCCTCAATGCAACAGAGCCATTAGAATTGCTATAACTATTTGGATTCACACAACAGAAACCTTAAAAAGACCTTCTACATATGGCCACACTTCTCTTCTGAAAGGATATAACCAAAAAGCAGTTTTCTGCATTCCACTTAGCACATACTTCACATAAAACTCATAAAAACTCCACAAATTATCTGAAAAAGTTCCTACAGGTTGTTCTAAATCTGACATAAAGAAATTTTTTCTCTTTTTTTTTTAACGCAAATTTAACCCTTGCAGAACCTGTTTCCAGCTGGCAAAGAGAGGATATTTGAACAACTGTGATCAACAACTGACATTAACATTTTAGTTTTAACTACTCTCCACTAGTCAAGCCTCAAAAAGATAGACAGTGAGGTGAGAAGGCTGGACCATATCACTTGCATATTGCACATGCACACATCCCTCATATAAGGATGTGACACTTCATTTATTCCATTATTTATAAATGTCTGACACTTTCCACTCATTATGGCACCAACATTTCTTTTCAATTTTCTTCTTCTCCTTAAAAACAAAAGTCAGTAAGCTCATCAGACCATAATGATTTATCAAGGCTTGTTTTTTTTTTTAGTAGCTCAGTGTTAGTCTCTGCAGTATTCCAGCACAAATGTCTTTTAAAAATTTCTGCATTCCAGGTCCCTACCCCAACAGACCTTCTCCAACATCACAGTGGTTCTAATTTCTGAAGAGGAGGATGAAACTTGTTGATAACAGTAAGTGTTCTTGTTGCCTAGGTATCTGAAGGGTTAGACAGCAGTAGCAACTGGAGAATACTAAACACCTTATGTCAGAATCTACAAAGTTTTACACACCAACCTATACCATATGCATTTTTATACACATCATCTGCTCCCCCAACATACAGAAACCTCCTATTAAATGTAGCTGATTAGTGGACACAAATTTTGTCATCCTCAATTTCAAGACTAAATTGTAGCTATCCGTAAAAAGCCAGTACTAAACAGAATCAAATCTATGAAAACGGATGAAGCAGCCATGAAAGTATTTCTATTTAATCTCTCAAGACAGCCCATTTCTAAAGAAGAGTCCCCTAGATCATTGTTAAATGTAACTCATACACAGTTGTAACTGCAGGATTCCCTCTGTGTAGAACAGAATGTATTTGTGCACACAAACTGTGAGTGCACAAACCTAGGTTAGGTTTCCACTCATGAAAACGTGTGGAGGTTTTTTTATGTAACATAGAAAGCTTCTGTGCTTATATACAAGCTTGGACAGCTATGTCATATATACTGTATATTGCATGCAATATTGTGTAGTATATTTGCAGCATAAATGTGTTATGAATTGATCAACACTTCAAAATATTCCAGAGCAGCACTGGGCCAAACTAGTCACTTCAATTTTGAAAGAATAAATTCTGTTGCTGGCAAAGCAATACTTTCGGTTAAGAAACAGAGAACAAAGAACCTTTAATTTCTTTTGGTTTCTAGCTTTTACTCCACAACACTCTAGATGACTTTCAGTATTACTCACTTTCTTTCATATTACTTCCATTGATTAAAAATTAGTTATAAATCAGCTGATTAAAGCTCATTTACACCACATACTAAACTCTAAATCTTTCTAAAACTTAACTTCTTCACAGAAAATGAGTCATGATTTCCCTTCACATTGTCATGACATAAATACTTGTGTTCTTAAGAACCCCACAAAAATTATGTAAATACAATTTACTAACAATTTCTGCCCATGTTGTGTTCTTAATTCATGCTAGGATTAAATCTCTCCCCTTATAACTCACCTGGATACTATTTTGCTTATCCTAGTCACTAGGCTTATGACATAATTCACTTAAAATACAGTAAGTGTTCTATGAAATCTATGCCCACACACAGAATTGGTACTTCTGCATTTTCAA